CGACGTCCGCGTGTTCGTTGAAGTAACGCGCGATTATTATTCGTCGTCCGTCGCGATACGCTAACGTTTCTGAAGGTTGACTCGGTTTCTGCGCTCGGGCAGATATCGCAATTAGGATATTTCGCACGATGTCGCACGAAAGTTATTTTTGAGGCGCGCCCGCGCTCTGAACAATAAGCCGAGATAAGCTTGGGAATCGTTGGCGAGACCCGTTCGCGATACCTTCGCGACGTTGCCTCACGACGAGCTTTCCCCTTGTTTTTTGTGAAAATGACCCTCTTCTCACACAGGTGACTATTCACTCTCCTGCGAGGAAATTCTCAATGAGCTGAAAAGAAACGTTCGCACGCGGTCCTTCTTTCTTTCCTCACATTTTCTATCTCTTTCTGACCTTTTTGTACCATGAGAATTCAGTCTTGAGTACATATAATAAGAGATTGGTGACAAAGATTGCTTCTTAGAGATAGCGTAAGTAAGACTCGCGGCACCTTTGATATTTACATTGCGATCATGCCGAAACTTCGTACAGAAAGTTTCGTTATTCGTAGTGGTGTACGTCGCATCGACGCGGTAAGGAAATATTGAATTTATCAATTCCATTTTTTCTTCGAACTCGTTCACGTGTCATACGTTAGTGCGTACTCTTTTTTGTCTTTCTTCATCAAAGCTTTCGCACGACAGGAAGATTAATGTGTACAGTTGTAGAGCACGACCGTAAATCCTTTGTTCACATCAGACTGCATATCGGGTTTAATGCGCGCGTTACATACGTAGAGAACCGTCAGCGCACATTCAGAAGTTACATTCGTACAACGAACGTGACATTCCGCTTCCAAGATACGGCTTCTCAATTGTCACGCGAAGCTCTGCGTGGGATCTTTATTTGTCTAGAAAATTCGAGCTGGGACAGCCGGATGCCTGGTAGCGAAGAGCACGACATAACCTTTGAACTTTTCGGATCGCCTGATAAAATATTCACATCGCATTCTTCCTTTTTCTTTTTTTTTACAATGTGTCTGCGTGATGCTAATATGTGAATAACAAAAAGATCCGAAAGCGTCCTGAGAAGATCTGACGCTCGTTGAAACGTGTTTCTATACTCTTTCTCGGATAGATACAGAAATCGCATTTTTAGGATAACGAAAGTCTCGAGAATAATTTATTCGGGAGTAACGACGCACGAGATAGGCGTGGTCATCAGTGCGGAATTATATCGACGCACAATGGGACGAAGCCTAAGAAATAACAGACGTATGCCAAAAAATTGAATTGTTTACTTTTGTTCATAAATTCTCATAGTAAATTAGTTGATACTTATTAAAATAACGGACAGTATTTGATTTATAGGAAAAAATACGTGTTATACAACTTGTCATTAAGCTGTAAAAAAAATATTTAAGATTGTTAACATTCTCTATAATTATATATGAGCAAAATCTGCTATGTTCGCAATCTACTATGTTTCGATCGACGTGCTCGCGCGCACAGGCACATTTCGACCGAGAGCGATTATCCCCGGCGCCGTTCCTTATTTCGCACTCGAACGCGTATAACGCGCGAGCAGCGGTTATTAGTTCGTTCTCGTATCTGCATCCCGGTCACGTTCGGTGTTGATAAAAGCGTACCGGCTAGGTGCGACACCTGTTACGCGCAGATACGATAATTATAGTCATCGGCCTGTCGTCCACTATTACGCGCGTAGGAATCTGAGGACTTCGAGGGTGTAACGAGAGAACCGAACGACAGCTGTGAACACGTCTCGCCCGTTTTATTGGCCACGACCGTTTCCCTAAAGCGACATCCACACCTTCCAGCTTACTGTATTTTCCCGACTTGAGCTCGGAACGGCCGAGTTCATGCGACTAGCGTCAGTCATGGTCAGCCGTCAAAATCGATTCAGTCGCCATCTCTTTCTGATCCTACCTTTACAGAAGAGCAGAGACGATTAAGCTACGGTTGGTTGTTTAACGCCAACGAAAGGAAAAAGAAACGGAACGAAATGAAAGAACAGAATGTTCCTCAATCGGTAAAATATATTGGATTGATGCAAAAGTTCGTTCCGTTTTTTTAATCAAAATTTACATATAATATTTATTTATTTAATGTTAAGAATCTGCTTATTTTAGTCTTGATTTCATTGAATTTATACCGATGCAAGTATTGCTTGAACTCAACTCAAGGCTAAAAAACCTTCTATGAAGATTATAATATTCTTGCTTATATATATGAGAATATCTATTCTTGATTTAAGACTAATTCTTCTTTTCCCGTGCGCGTTTGCAGAAATTCTGAGACTTCCGAGCGAAGGACTGATTAAAAAACGGCGCGGACATTTTCATCAATCCAACAATTACCTTTTCCTCGTGATCATATTCTTAATAAAAGAAAATCTTAAAATCCTCGTACTCTCGGGGTAAAAGTTCACAGAGGAGCACAATGATGCGTCACCTTCTGCTCTATTTATGCCGTGCCGCAAGAACCGTGCCTCAAAGTTTACAATAGCGGTTATCGAACCGTAATTCGCCGGGCCGTGGAACTTCGCGCGACTTCGTCAAAGGCTCTTAATGAAAGCTTACTTTCTAAACCGCATATACATATATCCAGGAAAATGTATACAATCACCGGCGTGTGCATACAATGCGTGGATCTGCGCGCAATCCTGTTCGGCTCCCGCAATTAGTACTCGTAAAATCTGAGAATCGCCGCTGCGAAGAATAGCAGCGAGTCGTAATACGACGGCCACCGGTGATGCGGTATCCCGGCGACGGAAATACGCGAGATATCACCGGTGTGTCGTGCTCGTCCAATCAATTCGCAAGCGTCGCTCGACATTTTGCTCGGATGAGAGGCCGGCATTTCCGACAGAAATTGCTTTTCCGGAGGAATGCACGAGCCGATCGTCCATGATCGCGCGATACACACTCGGCCCGAGAAACTCCGTGTTTTGCATCTCGCGTGCTACTAAGTCTCCATGCATAAATCAAACCGCGTGACCGGTAGATTGAACCACATTCCGGCGCGCATCGAATGCATTACGCGGGAGCCGACCTCGCGTCTCAGAAAAATAAATACCGTCCGCGCGGATGACGCGCCGAGGTACAGAGAATGCCGCGGAATACTCGGATGGCTCGGTCGTAATTTAAATTTAATCTACCGACGATTAAAGTCTCATTAGGCGATCGGATCAACGATTGGGCACTCGCCAACTGCTCGCTCGATTTAAACGCGTAATGCTTCGCCACCGCGCAATCTACGGATCGCGTTTCTACCGCGTCGCACAGTTAAAATCCCGAGATAAAGCGAATCCTTTCGCACGATTTATTCGTTAGATCGCTCGGCTGAAGGGGGATCATTTTTTTTAACGGCATCTGCGGTATTACTGACGAATCGTCCGAGCCATCTCCGCTTGATTCTCCATGGGTGCAATATCTTATTATCTTAACGAGGTGTAGTGTCTTTGGAAATATTGCATTCGGATAGGCACGCGATAATCGTCAACGGCTACGTTTGCAAAGTAAATGTCATGGGAAATTGTAGATTTTCTTGGGAGATCTTTTTATTCACAGATGCCGATAAAATCGGTTTGTAAGAAAAAAATCTATGAAGTGCGAGAGGAAATGTGGGGGGGGGGGGATCTTCTTTGGACTTTCCCAGAGAACTGAATCATTATTTTAGGGAGGTATCGTCTTTCTGACGCTTTTGTTTTTCACATTCGGTATTTTTTTTACGCGTTCTCCATTTGATCTCGGTCGTAATGATAGGCTGTTAAATACTATGTTGCTTGGAGCACAGAAAGCTGTCCAGCTTTCACGGTACTCTTGAATCTTTAGAAGTTAGGCAGGGCCGCACAATGCGATCCACGGTAGATTAAATCTTTTGGCAACAGACAGTGGGCTTTGTGCTTATTTTCGACCGACCTGCTTTAGCTCGTCGAATACGTCTCGCGCCTCCCGTCGTCTTTGCGGCAACTCGAGGCGTATTTTCGCTCGTTCGAAGCTTCGAGGTGTCGGGCTCGAGTAAGCCCTTTTCGCCCATTCAAAATGTGTCTGTGAGAGTGATTCAAGGTGTCGGAAAATAACGGGCGGACAATGGTAGAACTCTTAAGACCGGAGTGTTTTGCAGAATATATAACGGATGTAAAACCTATTTACACGCTATCTTATTATTTTATCGCCCGAGCATTGCTCCGTCACGTTCAATTTTACTCTTGGGAATAAGAGCACAGCGCGCAGAAACATGTACTGTACTCTTACTTTATTTTATATATTTATTATATATATAAGCAACTTGTTTGATTTTCAAGCCACCGATTAATTGCATCGTTCCGCGTTAGTGTCGATAAAAACTAGTTACTTAACACATCGGGACGGAGAAAAAAATGCTAATCAATTCGGAAAGCGTACTATTACATTAATAAGCATACCCATGTTAAAAAGAGGAGAGACTTTCGATCTGCTGTTTCTGGAAGCTACACTTTCTACTCTACTCGTCTTCGTTCTTCTTTCGCTCTCTTCTTGCAATGTAATCGCGCGCTTCTTACTAAGTACGGCGTAGCGCGCGGACTAATAAACAGAGCGGACTTTTTCGTGCAAGTCGTGATAAACGCCTACCGAATCTGAATAACGTGCTTATTATCGGTGCCCGCTAATTACCGTGTATCACAAAGCAAAGCGGGCAAATCGTAGGGAAAAGATGACCGTGGAGTCGTCGCAAAAATTCCAGTCCGTTCGCAATTAATATCATCCGCAGGCCGATAAATCCTCTTGATGCTTCGCGGAAGCGCACGGGAAACGTTGAAAATGAGCCAGTAAGCGAGCAAATGAGGACAGCTGGGACGAGCGATGCGGAACATGATGCACCTATCGTGTAAGCGTAGTCCTCGCGCGTAACAATTATCGACGATAGCAGTTCGCGAACGCACGCGGACCTCACGGCTAGAAACTGGCAAAGGCGTGCTCCCGCTCCCTCTTGCCTCTCTGTACAATTCCACTTTCTTCCTTTTCGATGTTGCGTTCTCCTTAATTTAATGGATTCAGAGAGGATGCGAAAAACCCAGCAAATTTTTGATCCGCAAAATTGGATCCGCAGCTTTACAAGCTGCTTCCGTTCCCTTTCTCATCGTTTCGCAATGCGACCGGCGCTTCAATTAAGACACCAGAAATTATATTCGAACAAGTATCTTAGCGCTTTTTCGAAAGGAAATTGAAGTCGCATCGATACTTCTGAAATTTCTCTATTTCTATCCATTTCTATATTGAAAAAGAAAAGTGTTACATTTAGATAAATATTTGCTAAGTAACATTGAAATGATTATTTTATACGGATTAAGTAAATACAGATTTGTATAAATTATTAGACTTGATGGGTAAAAAAATTAAAAATATATTTACATTCGTTTTTTTTTATATTTTAGTATTTTGTATGCCCTTTACATCGATCTAATACGAAAAAGACATTATTTAATTTTAATTCAGTCACTGAATTATTAATTTAGTTATTGAAAATTAGAACCCATATAAGTTTTACAACCGATAAATGATTTTAAAACATTCAATTTATGGAAACAAAAGTAAGCGTTATAATAAAGACATCAGAAGAACAAATGCAAACAATACAATAACATACTAGTACTACTTAGTAATGCTGCCGGCAAGAATAATTTGCGAAAAAAATTCCGTAAGTTTTACAGAAATAAAAATTTTACTAAGAATGGATCTATAAATCCAAAATGTAAGAAAATTTTATAAAAAACATATTCTAATTGAAAATATAATGCAATCTTACATGGATAACTAAAAAATACTCGAGCCTTTAATCTTATTATTTCCACGCGTCTGTTTGAATATATCTCACTGAAAGAAGAAAAAGAACTATATTCCAGTGACATTGACTTAACCCTTAAATGCATAGTGTTGCAAATTTGCAACATATTTATTTTTCCTCTTTGTCGAGATCAAAGGCATATCTAAACGTGGAAGACCAAATTCTTGCTTAGAACGAAATATACAATCCAAAAGACACAAAGGCAATGCTCAACATATGCTTCAGATTTTTTTAAATATTTTTCTTATTTCCTGGGACTACCTATGAACCTGAAAAAAAATAATTCAGTAATAAAAAAAATTCATGCTTTTAAGGATTAATCCATGCGAAATAATCAGTCCGATACTCTTTAGCTGACAAATATTGAACGTAGCACTTCTTTCCTTCGGTACACAGCCCTCCGCTACATTCTACTAATATTATCCACGTTGATTGGTATCACTTACGCTTTTCGCTCGGTTTATTTGCGCAAACAACCCGGCTCGCGAGTTTGCCCGTTATTGTCGGTCATTTTGCGGGGCGCGCGAGACACGCACGTCCGCGCCGTCCGTGGTTTGTCACTGACGCGAGGATGTTGTTGACCTCATCCTTAGGATCTTTAAGACGCAAAAACGCACACGCGAGATACCGTTGGCACGAGTCACCGACATAGATGCACCTGTTCCGCGCCGCTAGTGGCGATGCAACGCAAGCGGCGAGCGCGCTCGCTCGCTCGCTCGCTTCTTCTGCGCCTCCGCGTTCCGCGCGAGAAGAATTCGCGGAGGTCGGTCGGTATCGTGACGATGCCGTTTTCGTTCCGCGCTCTTCTGCTCGGTGTGAATTACGGCTACGTCGCGTCGTTGCGCGCGAACGTCACAATCCGAGGAAAGAGGAAATCGATGTCTGACGCTTTCTCCCTCGCGATCTTTTGAATTTCAAAAATACTCTGTCTTGTCGTAATCAAAGCCCAGTTTCGTGAGAAATTCTCGCACGGCGGGAAAGCAAATTACGTAAAGAGCGATGTTCCGTATATACTGGCTGCGCATCGTTCGCGGCTCATTGACACGGAGATGCTTCTTTCAGCGGAATTCACTGTTACGTGCGAGAAAATTGCAAGATCTCTAGCCGGGATCGAGCTTAGCGGACCGAAGATAAAAGACGGTCCCGACGCAACTCATCGTGCCATATTGCGTAGCGTCTCGTCTCGTGGAATTCCAGCGCGTCCTTCACCTCAGAGGGAGAGGAGCGGTCGCGTTTTATTTTCATGCTTTCGGTTGGCGCAATTGCATAACGGTCACGCACACGCATGTACACTGACGATGACACGCGTGACGAGAGAGAGAAAGAGACGCGTTAACGCGTGCAGGATCGCTGACTTTTCGCATCACACGCGTGCGTGTGTGCATATACTCCCGTTGCGTTGCGTAAGAATTCGTTCGTTTGCTTGTTCGCTCGCTCGGATGCGTCGCGCAAAGTCGCACCGGTGCGCAACAAAGTAGCTGTAATTCGCTAAAATGTACCGGCGGCCTGTTAGATAGGCAAGCACTTAGCGTCGACACACGCGTGGCCGCTTATTTATGCGATTTTACGCCTTTCGGCGCCGGTCGCACGCACATGCGTAAGTGTACGTAACGGTACCTCGTAAAATGATTTTGCAAAGTGAGGTTTACACTCGGATTTAATCATAATCCGTCGTAGCTTATAGGAAGGAAATGAGGCGGGACATGTGGTGGAAAGATCGCGTTGAAATATTGATAGATTTAACCACTTGCTACTCGGCTTCAGCCGCGTCGTGAGTTTCGGCACACTTCGCGTGCCAAAATTAGTTCGCTCGAGTCGGCCTGTCGAGTGTCTCTTGCCGATTGGGATGCCCTCTTTTCGGAAAAGCCGATAATGTAATAACACGGCATTACGGAGCTAACAAATAAATAACGCGGAGTACGCGTCATTAACGTTAACTGGGCCCGCGCGAGACGGCGAGGAGAAGAGCGTGCTTCGAAACACGGAAGTGTTTACCGGCGGACTTGTCGCGATTACGGCTTGTTTCTTCGCGGGACGGTAGGAGCGACGGTAAACGACGCGGCAATTATTCGTACGCTACCCGGTCGATCCGCGATCAAAAGTTCCCATGCGTAATCCGCTGCGCACGCTCGTTACTTACGAGGCACATTTCCGCTCGAGTGTTGAGTAAGAAAACGCTCTCCCGGCAGAGAGAAAGAGACTCGCTCGCGCGTAAACAGCTGTCGCTCGGAATTGTATGCGCTTCGCGTATCGGAAGACGCGATACTTCCCAAGTCGATGTGCTCGGTCGATTAACGGATTAATCGCTCGTCCACGCTTTCGTCGGCAGCTGACGTGCGCGTTCGATAATACGACGACCCGTTAAGAACGCTAACGGGAACGACGATATTCGTGACGACTACTGACGAATTCTCGTTGCGTCGCGTATCGTGGCCGACAGCATGTTTTCGGCGAATCCCGGTCCCCCCTCGGGCTCTGCTCGCGAGGGTATCGATTTTCCCAGCAACCGACGACCCTCCCGTCCTCTTTCCGGTCTGCCGTGGATACTGCATTGGTCGTGCGACGTTGAACGGAATGGCAAATATTTTAATAAGAATTCTCTCAATGCGTGCGATTCAATTTTCTGTTAAGCGGTTTGTTCACTTGAATTATTACCGCTATTCAGATGTAGGAATTATTAAGGAGATTGAGAAAGTACGGTTTTTTACGTGTCATATGAAGCGTATACACGGAAAAAGATTAGTATCAATTCAAGACTTATATTTATATATATAAAAGAATGTATAATTTTATATGAAAATGAAGTTTGCTTTCACACACGAAGAAGTTTTGTATGTGTCGATGTTCCACTAAGAATATTATGTTCTTACAATTCAAGAATAACAATTCAAATACAATTCAAGTATAAATATAAATTATAATTATAAATTATAAATTCTCATAAGCAAGAATATTACAATCTTCTTAGAAGATTTTTGATTTGATTAAATTTGTATTTATGGAAATATTATTTGCAGTCAATGCAAGACTAAAAACTTTTAAGAATATTGTAACATTCTTACTTGTATATATGACAATATCTATCATTGATTTAAGACTATTTTTCTCCGTGTGCTAATTTTTCTCCATGTATCAAGATTATTACTGATGTCTTCAATATCGTTAGAAAACTGGAGAAGAGAGAGTGTGTACGTTTTAACTGGGATATGTGCCTGGTCTGTTTTTCGACATAGCGTATTGGAAATTCGTTTGGAAATGCCGTAGGTCACCCGGACGGTTACAGTTTGTGCTGGCGCAATGTTACCGTTAGCTACGGTTACGCAATGGCAAGTTGATCCTTCGGAAATGATAAGTATGTTACATAAGATTTCTCGCTCGCTTGCAACGACGTTATTTTCACAGTAATCCACGTTTACGTTCCCATCAATACGAGAACGAAAATTTTCACAATTCGTCGATCCGATTTGCCGAGATCGCACCGACAATTCACACCGGTATCCCTTTAATCAATCTCTACGTACCGTACGTTATTTCACGTGTACGTGCAAGAATACGGGAAAAATTTTCTTGCACACTATCGAAGGGATGCGGCGGCATTTGAGCTCCGTGTATCACGAGCTCCGCTTTTTCTCGAGTCGAGTCAACACGGCGTAACGGAAAGCTGGTAACAGTCGGTAGTAATAAAGGAACAACGGAGCATTTCCGCAATTTAAAACGCGCACGACGCGCCGATTTTTTTTTTTAGTATCAATCTCGATCGATTTCGGGCTCGAATTTGGCGCGCCTGTAAATGCACTATCGCTGCGTTAGACAAAAAGCCTCGTATGCACGATGATTTTACCTGGTGTTTCACTTCATTATAACAGGTACGGCCAACACGCGTAACGTTCGCGATACCGATACCGTGTTTGTTTGCCGTCAATTGAGCGGTAAAACTGTGGCCTAAAAATACATGCGCCATTACCACGAGAAATTGTATAGCAGTAATTAAATGTAAACCATTTCGCCATTTCGTAATACATTGTTATGAAATGATTATCGGCAACATGTTGCAATATCAATTTATCGCCTTTAATTTATTAATATTTGCGGCAATTTTGTGGAATCCGCAAAACATATCGGCATTTTGGTCATTCTAAATTTCACGTTGAGGAGAGAGTAGCGACGTTGAGAAGACTCGGGAAACGATAAACCGGTGGATTTCAATTAATTATTAGTGCTTAACAATTAATATCCAATTTTCATCATTTCCCCGGTGCGTCTTGGTCATTCATCAACGACTAAATTAATCGCCTCGCGACGTTAGCATGAAAGAACGCCGACGAAACGCTTCCTCTCCCACGGCCGCCTCCGTCAACGCTCACTCCGACGCACTTGAAAGACGCGGTTGGTTTAATTCAAACGCCCGTGTTTTACGAGGATGCATAAAGCTGTGGGCACAGCCCCCGCGAGAGAACCGCCGGGGGAATAACAGAAGAACTCCGCGACTGTCTATTTCCAAGACTCGCGGAGAACAGAGAAGGAAAGATAACGACGGACGATTCTCATCGATGCGAAGATGATGGCGATGAGGAGGAGGACGCAAGCGTGACTTACGTAAAACACCTGCTTCATTGTTGAGGCGGCTTAGCACAGTCGGCGTTCTCCGTGTACCCACGAAGAGACCTTCCACATTTCCCTCCTCCGTCGCCCTCCAACTTGCGTTCCAGATATTCGATACCTCGTCTCTCGAGGTTGATACACCGTGACGAAATACCATGAGGTTGCGACGCCACCGAATAAACGAGCACGCATCCACGCTGCTTTGCGATCACGTCATTGTCGCGAACTGCCGAGAAAGCGGCGTTCCTCCACCCTCCCTTCAAGGACGCTAAGAATCGCCGCTCCCCCATAGCATTATAATCAGCAAAACCGGCCGGAAAAAGTCCTTGACAATAGGATCCAGAAAGGGTGAGGGATTTCAGAGCATATTACCTCGACCTTAAGACCAGGTGTTCCAACTGTCCCTTAGAACTAACTCAGCTTAAGCAAATCTCCTTTGTGTGTATTATTATCGCCAGAAAGGAACGATGAATAGAACATTTGGATTCACCGGATTCGGTGAGTGAAATTTTGATGTTGAGTTTATCATGGGCCCGTTGGTTGGATGGTTGAAAGAAGGCGAGGAAAAAGCACGGAAGGGTAAATGCCTCCGTTCCGCGAATGCGACAAATACGAAGTCGCGGTATGCACAATTGTAATGACGGTAAATAACAAATCGGTTACGCGACGTTATGCTTTTAAAGGAGCTCGATATTTAACAACTATAAATATTCACAACGCTTCCGTGAAACGCGGCGAGGTGAAGAAGCGTTAGAGGAGGGGAGGGGGGATAGTAATTTCGTCAGATGCGCTGAAAGGTTCGGGTGAAAATTTCTCCGGCGATCACGCGGCCGCGCAATGGCTCGATATTGCGGCGAATTTTCATCGAGCGAGATCGCCGCGTTTCAAAGCAGATACTCCGCGGTTGCCGCGGCAAGTACGCAATTTCCCGCGTTTGAACATACTTTATTACCCTGACCGTCGTTCAGCACGGCGTCTGCCGTTAATCCATCCGTCTCGCCGCCGGCCGATCAAACGAAAGGAAATTGGGCTCTCCGCACGATGA